AGCCCGCCGCAACCCTCTCTAACCCGCCCCCAGCCTGCCCCTCTCCCCACAACCTCCCTTGCCCCCGCACCTCCACGCCCGCCCCAATCTTCCTCGTCACCCCGCACCCTCCCTCCCCCCAGCCCGCCGCAACCCGCTCTAACCCGCCTCCTCCCTCCCCAACCTCCCCCGCACCCCCAGCCCGCCCCAACTCTTCCTCGTCACCCCACACCCCAGCCCGCCGCAACCCTCTCTAACCCGCCCCCAGCCTGCCACCCGCACCCCCAGTCCGCTGCAACTCTCTAACCCGCCCCCAGCCTGCCCCCTCCCCCCGCACCCTCCCTTGCCCCCCCGCACCCCCAGCCCAACCTCCCTCGCCCCCCTGCACCTCCAGCCCGCCGCAATCCTCTGTAGCCCGCCTCCTCCCTCCGCACCCCCAACCCGCCGCAACTTTCCTCGTCCCCCCGCACCCCCAGCTCGCCCCAACCTTTCTCGTCCCCCTGCACCCCCAGCCCTTCGCAACCCTCTGTAAGCCGCCCCTCCCCCCACAACCTTCTCTAAGCCGCACCCACAGCCTGCCGCGACCTTCCTCGGTCCCCCGCCCCCCCAGCGCGCCCCAACCTTCCTCATCCCCCGCACCCCCAGCCCGCCGCAACCCTCTCTAAACCGCCTCCTCCCGCCGCAACCTCCCTCGCCCCCTGCACCTCCAGCTCGCCGCAATCCTCTGTAGCCCGCCTCCTCCCTCCGCACCCCCAACCCGCCGCAACTTTCCTCGTCCACCCGCACCCTCAGCTCGCCCCAACCTCTCTCGTCCCCCTGCACCCCCAGCCCTTCGCAACCCTCTGTAAGCCGCCCCTCCCCCCGCAACCTTCTCTAAGCCGCACCCACAGCCTGCCGCGACCTTACTCGTCCCCCCGCACCCCACTCCCCCTGCACCTCCCTCGGTCCCCGCCCCCCCCAGCGCGCCCCAACCTTCCTCATCCCCCGCACCCCCAGCCCGCCCCAACCTTCCTCGTCCCCCCCGCAACCTTCACCGTCCCCCCGCGGCCCCAGCCCGCCGCAACCTTCTCTAATCCGCCTCCAACCTACCCCTTCCCCCGCAACATCCCTCGCCCCCGCACCCCCAGCCCACCGCAACCTTCTCTAACCCGCACTCCCAGCCCGCCGCAACCTTCCTCGTCCCCCCCACCCTCCCTCGCCCACCCGCC